AAATGTCTCAATAATGATGAGGCATCACTCACCTGGCTGATGATTCTTGGGGCCCTCTGGGTCGGCAAAAGACTTTGTTCAGCAGGCTTGGAGAAATATCCAAACTGTCGTCGTTGTACTGGGAAAGTCGAGACCATTGGTCACGCCTTTTTTCAGTGCAAGACGGTAGTGCCGTTGTAGGTTTGTTGAAGGCCTCATGGTTCGCATGATGGAGGAAAGGAAAGTCCTGTAAGACAGTTCTGTTTGTAGCAATGTGGTGCCGCAATTGACGGAGGCTGAAACTATGTGTTCTGTTGCTTACTAGGGGTTATGAGAGTCGTGATTTGGACGACGCGAATGAAGGAATTCTATGATGGCGAGAAGTTCACCTCTTCCCAACTGATCTTGTACTTTAAGCATCAGCTTAAAGTCAAGATTAGGACGGAAAGGCGGCGGCTCCCATCATCAGAATTTGGCAAAAGGTGGGTGAATCTTGCGCGAATGTGTAGAGTAAAAGAGGCTGACCTAGAGTGGCATTTGGATGTCGGTTAGGTACAGAATTTTGTCCTAACAGGGTTGAACATAGGAAACCCACCCAGATATTAGGCTAGTCTAGGCTTTCTATTTTGAATTTTTAGTTTCTTTTTTTCCCCGGTTAACTTAGCTAGGGTATGTATGCTCATTAGTCCCTTTTATTTCTGTCCCTATTTTTCTTTTGTTTAATTCCCCATCCCTCCCTCGTTAGGTGGTTAGTGATGTCAGTTCTCTGGTGGATGCGGGGCGCCTTTCGTTTCGTATGGGTGATTTTTCGTATTTGTTGTTGTCTTTGAATGTGTGTGTGCGTGCCTGTGTGAATGCTTGGAGGTTTGAATGTTTTCCTAATTTTTTTCATAGTCCCGCATTGATTTCGTCCGGTTAACAGATGTTTCTGCCACATTCATGGTTTGTGGGGGTTTTATTACTAACACATTTTTTGTTTAGTTTATTGTAAATATTTAAGACACATTGTAAATATTCATTTGGGGATATTTTTAAAATTTGTTATTTTATAACCCTCCCCCATGAACATTATCTGTATATAAGGGGACTAGTTAGGACTTCATAGAGAATTTGAGGTATTATGGTGGACGTAATAAGAAAGGTAGGAGTGAATGTGTTGTTTTGGTGATTGGAATATTGTTGGCATGTTTGGGTCAGTGTCTGCGACTAGCTAAGTTTTAGATTTAAGACAGAAAAAGACCGCCATTCCCGATCCCCCTTTTTCGGCCTCGTGCCACATTTTGTATTATATATACAAATAAATATTGAACGCTTACTTTGCAAGATACACGACACAACAATTACTTAATACTTTAATAATATTACTTAATACTTTAATAATATTACTTAATACTTTAATAATATTACTTATATTTTAATAATCTTACTTATAACAGATAAAATATTACTTTAATACAAGTCATCTGGTAAACCCGAATCGAATTTCTTTTTTAACATGTATTGTTAATTTTTTATATCGGCAACATTAAATTTGTATCCGTTTTTAAAAAAATTATTAGTCAGTAGTAAAATAATTTAAAATAAAAATTAATTAAATGTGTCAAAATATAAAATGAAAGATTTTTACATTTTACAATAACGCTTTTTTATTTGCGGAAATATTTTTTTTTTTTTTGCATAAAAAATAAATTTAATTAAATATATTATGCTATGAATTAACTAATCGAGTTTTTTAATTTTAAAAAGTCATCTTGTATTAAACCCGAAAAGAATTTCAATTTTAGCAATTTTAACATTAACAATTTGTTAATAAAAATTTAACAACTTGTTAATAAGAAATAGACGTGATAATTACATTTCTGTCTGTTTATAAAAAAAATAAGGTATTAAAATAATTAAAAGTAATAATTAATTAAAAAGTCTCCCAAAAATGTTATTTACATTTTACAATAATCATTATTTGTGCAAATAAAATTCTTATTTTATATTTTGCACAAAAACTTAGCTTAATCAATTGTTTTATACGGGTACTAACTAATAAAAATATTTGGTACTAGGTTTTTTATTTTATACTATTAGGATTTTTTTTTTCACTGGATACTACTTTTTTATTTTGTAATAAGTTTTTTTATTAACTATATTTTTTTTTTTTTAGATTTACAAACAAGAGATAAAATAAATATGAATTCGTTTCAAAAAAAATAAAAAACTTTATTCGACATTTTCTTTTTTTGAAAAAAGTGTCTTGATGAAATAAATTCCATTTTATGAAACTTTTATTCGAAATTTTCTTTTTATTTCCATAAAAATGATTTTCAAAAATGAAATTCCATTTATTCAGATTTTATCACAATTTTCCTGTTTTTTTTTTTGAGTTGAAATATTTTTCAAATGATTAAATGTTAAGAAGAGGATTCACGTGTCCAGGTGGCGTGATTATTCTCGTCCAATGAAATGCCTTGTATTCCGATGACGTCATCCGTACGGCCGACGCCCTTTGCAGTTTGCTTTCAGAAAATTCAACAGACAAGACGTTTTTATTTTCCGTCTCGCTTCTTTTCATCCCAAAAGTGAAAATCAAAATCAAATGTAAGTAAGAATTTTCTTATCGTTTCTCCAAATCATTCAACCTTCTTCTTAAATGTTTCCATCAACACAACAAAATCATGCGTTTTTTTTTCTTCCTTTTTTTTTAATCATTTCAACCCAATGAAGGCAAGAAAGCCACTACGACGCAAAGGGGGCGGTTTTCTAATATTAAAAAAAAAAAAAAATCTTTATTATTAAAATCCATTTTTTTCTTTTCTTTCTCGAAAAAAAAATTGAATTTAATTTTGAATTTTTTTTTTTTTTTTAATCGAAAAATGTTCGTCTGACTCGTTGTCTTCAATTTGTTGATTTGTTATTGAATAAAGCAGACGATAAGTTATTTTGTCCCCGAATTTCCTTATCTGCTTGTAAAATACTTGAAACCCTTCCGAAAATTCGGTCAGTCTTGTTCGTATCTCTCGGTCTTTCTTTCTCTCTCTTCCTCTTTATCTCTCTTTCTCTTTCTCTCTCTCTCTTTTTCCTCTCTCATTCTTTCTCTCTTTCTTTTCTTTTCTCCCTCTCTCTTTCTCCCTCTTTTCTCTCTCTTTCTTTCTCTCTCTCTCTCTTTCTCATTTTTTCATTTCTCTCTTTCTTTCTTTCTTCTGATTCTTTTCTTTCTTTTTGATTAGCAAAAATTTTTGTCTCATTTTCTTTTCATTCTTAAAAAAAATTCTTGTTTTCTTTTTCTTCTTCTTCTTCTTCTTCTTCTTCTTCTTCTTCTTCTTCTTCTTCTTCTTTTCTTATTGAACAAAGGAAAGAAGACGATAGTTTTTTGTTCACCGCCCCTCCCCGATTTCCTCTCTACTTCCTTAAGGTTTGTTGTAGGATTTAAAAAGGAAGACGAGGCACTACTTAAGTAAAGTGGTCCGCTTGTTAAAAAGACAACAAAAGAACGTTTAAAATACTTACTTCCGAAAACTGAGTCTATCTATCTATCTATCTATCTATCTATCTATCTATCTATCTATCTATCTCTCTCTCTTTCACTCTATCTATCTATCTATCTCTCTTTCTCTCTCTCTCTCTCTATCTATCTCTCTCTCCCTCTCTCTCACTCTCTATCTACCTAACAGGAATTCTCTCTCTTTCATACATCCCTTTCTTCTCTCTCTTATTGAACATTCCTCCCCTTCACTTATTTTCCCTCGCTTGTTATCTCATGAAACTCTCTCTCACTCTCTCTCTCTTTATCGGTGAGTCTATCTGTTTATGAAAAAAAAAAAGGAAAAATATCCCCCTTTCTCTCTCTCTTCTTCTCTATTCCTCCCCTTCATTCTCTCCTTATTTTCCCTCCCTTCTTATCTCATATAACGCCCTTCAGTAGGGTGTGGTTATTCTCGTCCAATGAAATGCCGTCGGCTATTATGACGTCACAGCTCCTCAGACTCAAATATTCGAACTTTTCGAAATTGTTTTTATTTTTTTAACCGAATTCATATTGCGAGAAAAACTTTTTATTCTTACCTTCTTTTTCTCTTTCTCTCTCTCTCTCTCTCTCTCTCTCTCTCTCTCTCTCTCTCTCTCTCTCCCCTCTCTTATATTGGTCTATCCCTCTATCTATCTGTCTCTCAGTTTCCTTAAAAGATAAGGAAAAAAAATCTCTCTTTTATAGAATCTTTCCTTCTCTCTCTTTACGCCTCATTCTCCCCTTCACTACTTTCCCTCCCTTATATCTATCTATCTATCTATCTATCTATCTATCTATCTATCTATCTATCTATCTATCTATCTTTTAAATATTGAGAGGAAAACCAAATTCTTTTTCTCTATTAATAAAATTAGTTTATTTTTTTTTAATTAATCAAATTTTTATTTTAGCAAAAGAAAAAAATTAATTTAATTTAAATTAATTTAAATTAGTTTCTTTTTCGGTTTTTATGTGTGGACCACTTTATTTAAGTAGTGCTTAATTTGCTCGCTTTTATTGTCCTTGTGCCATACTAGATGAGTGAAGAAGATAAAAATATAAATTGGTAATAAATAAAAAAAATGTCTTCATTTTTTACGCGTCTTTTTAAAAAATAATTGGAAAAAATATTAAAATTTTCAAATATTAAAATTGATGAAAAGAGAATGTTAAATGTGACTGTGAAAGCGGAAAATTAGAAGCCCCCCTCCTTTCTCTCTGTTTCTTTTACCCTTTCTTTCTTTCTTTGAATTACTCTTCTCTCTCTCTCTTTCTTCATTGATAACCACTCTCTCCATTCCCCACTCTCTCACTATTTCATTCGCCCCACCCCCAACTCTTCTCCTCCCCTTCATTTATTTGAGATTTTAGAAGAAAACAAATTTTCTTTCCGGAAATGCATTTGTTTTTCTTGTAAAATCTCGAAATTTCGGGTCATTTTTCTTCCGGTTTTATAAATGGACTTTTTTTTTTCTTTTCTTTCTTTTCAGATTTGATTTTTTTATCTTCAGAAGAACTTTTCCAAATGGCGTCGAATGTAACTGAAGAAGAGACATTCCAATGCTCGAAATGCGTCGAATCTTTGGATTTGGCATCAAAGACGTTGCCATGTCTTCATTCTTTCTGCAAAAGGTGTGTGGAGGAGATTCTTGGAGGAAATGGCCGGTGTCCCCAGTGCCAAGAACCTGCGACCGATAAAGAGTTGAGACTGGCACCATTTTTGGTAAAATCTTTGAGGCGCCGTCAGCTGGAGTCCCGCCAACTGAATTGTGATACGTGTTCGGAAGACGGCATGGAATCGTCCTACCAATTTTGGTGCCAGGACTGTCAGAAACTCTTGTGCCAGACTTGCGAGAGATTTCATAAGAAATTCCACCCCAAACACGAGACCAAAGACTTGTCGGGTGTGTCGAGGGAGGAGGTCATCCGGGTCATCACGATGGAGGACTGTCGACGGCACCGCCAATCCAAGGACGTCTTTTGCGACCGGTGCAACGTGTTCATGTGTGTCGCGTGTTACACTGATCACGTGACCGCCTCCCCTCAGTGTCCGTCTCGTCCGCTCTCGGTGAGGGAGGTGGCGTCGAAGGGGAAAGAGGAGGGAGGCCCCACCCTGGAGCGGGAACTCCGCCAGTTTGAAATCCACATCCGGGCAACGAACGAGCGAACGAGGCGATCCATTGAAGAACTGTCAACGGATTGCGATTCGGAATGCTAAAAGTCTGGCAGGATTTTGAGACATTCGTTGAAAAGACAAGGATCAAGTTGGGAGAGCTGTGCGAAAATATGAGAGTGATGGCGTCTGAACTGGAGAGAAAATGGCGCCACTCCCTGAAGGAGAGAGAAGAACTTTTGGGGAAGGTAAAGATTTGGCAGCAAACCTTGGAACATTTGTTGAGGGACGACACCGACGATGAGGACGTCGTTTGTGGATTGAGGTTGGTGGGAGCTGAGCTTTCTGCACGGCTCCACCAATCGTTTGCTCCACCCGATAAAGGTCATTGGGTCGTGACCTTTCCCAAATGGTGTCACGATTCCCTAGAGTCACTGAAGAAAGAAATAATCGATTGGACGGCAGAGACATCCGGGCATTTGCAATTGGAATGTCAATGCCGTCTGCAAGGATCGAACCTGTCGCCGCGGATTTCATCGATTGTCGCCAGCGATGAAGACAATCACGTCTTTGTTGGCGATTGGAACGGCGGATCGATTCTAGAATTCAGAGACTCTGGGGAATTGGTCGGCGAATTTCCCTTAAAGGACGGAAGAGAGACATTCTACCCTCGGGACATGTGTCTCCTCCCCGAAGACATTTTGGTTGTTTGTTGTCCTTGGGGGTCTTGGTCGATGTGTGGAAGACTTTTCTTTTTGGCGCGACAAAAATCGCCGCCATTTTTAAAAAAACAAAAAATAATTGACACAAAAAAAAAGAAATTTTATTCTTTGTGTCAAATTCAGAAAAAAATTTTCGCTTGTGATTCGGATTTTCAAGAAATTTTTTGTTTTAATGAAAATGGCGAGAAAATAAAAACAATCCACCCGAGGGTGTCACCGGGGGGGGGGTTATGAACCCCGCCTTCGTGTCGATCCGACGACTGGGAATTTGTGGGGGGCAAAAGGGGGAGGGTCGGAAATTTTGGTTTGGAATAAAAATGGAGAAATTCTTCAAAAATTGCAAATAAAAGAAGAAATTTTCGATTTTTGTTCAAATAAATTTGGATTTTTTTATTTTTTGAGCCAAAAAGAAATTTTTTCTCTTTTACCAAAAAAAAATTTTCTATAAATTTCCGGAAAAATCTGAAAATTTTCCGCTGATTTTTGTTTCCAGCCAAAAATTGTTTGTTTCTTTTAAAAAAGATGGAAAATATTTTTTGAAAATTTTCAAAATTATTTAAAAAAAAATAAAATGTTTTTTTTTGTTTGTAAATAAAATTTAATTTTTTTAAAATTCGTTTTTTGAAATTTTTCTTCATTTTTTTTTTTTTTTAATCTCCGACCATCAATGGTTGACAGAAAATGAAATTTCATTTGGAAATGGCAATAAAATCAACAAATAAATCAATAATTATTGATCGATTTTTGTTTTTAATTTATGCAAATTTATGCAAAATAAAAATTGAATTTGTCATCGGATAACAATATGAGTTCAGGTAAATAATTGTAATTTTTTCTTCTTTTTCTTCCTTTTCTTTGTTTCTCTTTCACGCATTAAAACAAGAAATGGGTTTTTTCTTTTTCTTCGTGGATGTCGTGGAGGACCGTGAATTTTCTGAAATGTTCTCGAAAGAGATTTGGTCTTTATTTTCTTTAAAGACATTCCAAGACTGACATTTGGCAACGAACTGGAGAGAAGAAAACCAAAAAATCAGGGGAAGCGGGGGGGTAGAATTTCTAAAAGACGAGAAAGAATTGGTAAATTCTAAGGCGAAGATTCGGAAATTCCAAGGAATTTTTTTTTTTTGGATCTCCTGGGGGAATGTGTGGAAAAGAAGTAAAATCAAATCAACAAGAATTCAAGGAAAGGCATGAACCTATTTCATCCTTTTGCGATTTTAAGAGGAAAACTCAAAGATTGATGTCTCATGAAAAATGGAATCGGTAAACCGGGTTCAAATCCCGTTCACGTCTGTGTTACATTCATTAGGAAAGGCATGAACCTATCTATTATCCCTGCATCTATCTATCTCCTTTTCAAAAAGAGATAGCTCAATCCTTCTCTATCGTTATATAATCTTTATCTATCTTTCCATCTATCTCTCCTTTTCATTTTCTCTATCTCAATCTTTTTCATGTATCTATCCCTCAGTCTTTTCTATCTTCTTCCCTATCTATCTATCTTAATATTTCTATCTATCTATCTATCTATCTATCTATCTATCCCTTTTCATTTTCTATCTATCTATCCTATCTCAATCCTTTTTCATGTATCTATCGTTATATCTGACTCTCTCTCAGTCTGTCTATCGATCTATCTATCTATCTATCTATCTCCCTTGTCATTTTCCAATCTAGCTAGCTCAATCCTTTTTCATGTATATTTCGTTATATCTGACTCTCTCTCAGTCTGTCTATCGATCAATCTATTTCGTCTTTTCATATCTATCTATCTATCTATCTATCTATCTATCTATCTATCTATCTATCTCCCTTGTCATTTTCCAATCTAGCTAGCTCAATCCTTTTTCATGTATATTTCGTTATATCTGACTCTCTCTCAGTCTGTCTATCGATCAATCTATTTGCGTCTTTTTCATATCTATCTATCTATCTATCTATCTATCTATCTATCTATCTATATCTATCTATCCTTTTCCTTTTCATTTTCCAATCTAGCTAGCTCAATCCTTTTTCATGTATCTATCGTTATATCTGACTCTCTCTCAGTCTGTCTATCGATCAATCTATTTGCGTCTTTTCATATCTATCTATCTATCTATCTATCTATCTATCTATCTATCTATCTATCTATCTCCCTTTTCATTTTCCAATCTAGCTAGCTCAATCCTTTTTCATGTATCTATCGTTATATCTGACTCTCTCTCAGTCTGTCTATCGATCAATCTATTTGCGTCTTTTTTTCTATCTATCTATCTATCTATCTATCTATCTATCTATCTATCTATCTATCTATTCTATCTATCTTTTCTCAATCTTTTTATCATATTTCTTTCAGTCTGTCAATCTATCAATCTATTTGCGTCTTTTTCATATCTATCTATCTATCTATCTATCTATCTCAATCTAGCTCAATCATTTTTCATGTATCTATCGTTATATCTACTCTCCTCTCTCTCAGTCTGTCTATCGATGTATCTATTATCTATCTCAGTCTGTCTATCGATCAATTTATTAGCTCAATTATTTTTCTATCTATCTATCTATCTATCTATCTATCTATCTATCTATCTATCTATCCCTTTTCATTTTCCAATCTAGCTAGCTCAATCCTTTTCATGTATCTATCGTTATATCTGACTCTCTCTCAGTCTGTCTATCGATCAATCTATTTATCTATCTATCTATCTATCTATCTATCTATCTATCTATCTATCTATCTATCTATCTCCTTTTCATTTTCAATCTAGCTAGCTCAATCCTTTTTCATGTATCTATCGTTATATACTCTCTCTCAGTCTGTCTATCGATCAATCTATTTGCGTCTTTTTCATCTATCTATTATCTATCTATCTATCTATCTATCTATCTATCTATCTCCCTTTTCATTTTCCAATCTATCTATCAATCCTTTTCATGTATCTATCTATCTATCTAGTCTGTTATATCTGATCAATCTCTGTCTCTATTTCGTCTATTATCAATCTATCTATCTATCTATCCTTTCTCCTTTTCATTTTCCAATCTGCTATCAATCTTTTTTTCATATCTATCGTTATATCTGACTCTCTCTCTCAGTCTGTCTATCGATCTATCTATTTGCGTCTTTTTTTTTTATCTATCTATCTATCTATCTATCTATCTATCTATCTATCTATCTCCTTTTCATTTTCCAATCTAGCTCAAGCTCAATCCTTTTCATGTATCTATCGTTTATACTCTCTCTCAGTCTGTCTATCTCTCTATTTGCGTCTTTTTCAGTCTATCTATCTATCTATCGATCTATCTATCTCCTTTTATTTTCCAATCTAGCTAGCTCAATCCTTTTTCATGTATCTATCGTTATATCTGATCTCTCTCTCAGTCTGTCTATCTATCTATTTGCGTCTTTTCTATCTATCTATCTATCTATCTATCTATCTCCCTTTTCTTTTTTTCCAATCTAGCTAGCTCAATCTTTTTCATGTATCTATCGTTATATCTGACTCTCTCTCAGTCTGTCTATCGATCAATCTATCTGCGTCTTTTCTTATTCATATCTATCTATCTATCTATCTATCTATCTATCTATCTATCTATCTCCTTTTATCTCAATCCTTTTTCATGTATCTATCGTTATATCTGACTCTCTCTCAGTCTGTCTATCGATCAATCTATTTGCGTCTTTTTCTATCTATCTATCTATCTATCTATCTATTTTCTATCTATCAATCTCCTTTTCATTTCCAATCTCTAGCTCAATCCTTTTTCATGTATCTATCGTTATATCTGACTCTCTCAGTCTGTCTATCGATCTATCTATTTGCGTCTTTTTCATATCTATCTATCTATCTATCTATCTATCTATTCCCTTTTCATTTTCCAATCTAGCTAGCTCAATCCTTATTCATGTATCTATCGTAATATCTGACTCTCTCTCAGTCTGTCTATCGATCTATCTATTTGCGTCTTTTTCATATCTATCTATCTATCTATCTATCTTCTATCTCCTTATCTATCTATCTATCTATCTATCTATCTATCTATCTATCATTTTCCTTTTTTTCCAATCTATCTAGCTCAATCCTTTTCATGTATCTATCGTTATATCTGACTCTCTCTCAGTCTGTCTATCGATTTATCTATCTATTTCTATCGTCTTTTTATCCTTATCATATCTATCTATCTATCTATCTATCTATCTATCTATCTATCTATCTCCTTTTCATTTTCCAATCTAGCTAGCTCAATCCTTTTTCATGTATCTATCGTTATATCTGACTCTCTCTCAGTCTGTCTATCGATCAATCTATTTGCGTCTTTTCATATCTATCTATCTATCTATCTATCTATCTATCTATCTATCTATCTCTCCTTTTCATTTTCCAATCTAGCTAGCTCAATCCTTTTTTTTCTCAATCTATTTGCGTCTTTTGTATCTATCTATCTATCTATCTGATCTATCTCTATCTCCCTTTTCATTTTCCAATCAGTCTGTCTATCTATCGTTATATCTATCTATCAGTCTGTCTTTTCAATCTATTCTATCTATCTATCTATCTATCTATCTATATCTATCTATCTCCCTTTTCATTTTCCAATCTAGCTAGCTCAATCCTTTTTTCTATGTATCTATCGTTATATCTGACTCTCTCTCTCTGTCTGTCTCAATCTATTTCTCTTTTCTATCGATTTATCTATTCATGTATCTATCTCTTTCTGTCTATCTATCTATCTATCTATCTATCTATCTATCTATCTATCTATCTATCTATTTTCATTTTCCAATCTAGCTAGCTCAATCCTTTTTCATGTATCTATCGTTTATCTGACTCTCTCTCTATCTGTCTATCGATCAATCTATTTGTCATTTATCATCTATCTATCTATCTATCTATCTATCTATCTATCTATCTTCATTTTCAATCTAGCTCAATCTATCTATCTATCTCTATCTATTTATCTATCTCCTTTTTCATCTATCTATTCTATCTATCAATCTATTTCCAATCTAGCTCAATCCTTTTTTCGTTATATCTGACTCTCTCTCAGTCTGTCTATCGATTTATCTATTTGCGTCTTTTCATATCTATCTATCTATCTATCTATCTATCTATCTATCTCCTATTATCTATTTTTCATTTTCTAGCTAGCTCAATCCTTTTTCATGTATCTATCGTTATATCTGACTCTCTCTCAGTCTGTCTATCGATTTATCTATCTGTGACTTTCTCATATCTATCTATCTATCTATCTATCTATCTATCTATCTATCTATCTATCTCCCTTTTCATTTTCCAATCTAGCTAGCTCAATCCTTTTTCATGTATCTATCGTTATATCTGACTCTCTCTCAGTCTGTCTATCGATCAATCTATTTGCGTCTTTTTTCATATCTATCTATCTATCTATCTATCTATCTATCTATCTTTCATTTTCAATCTATCTAGCTCAATCCTTTTCATTTTCCAATCTAGCTAGCTCAATCCTTTTCATGTATCTATCGTCTTTTATATCTGACTATCTCTCAGTCTATCTATCTATCGATTTATCTATCTGTGTATCTATCTATCTATTTATCTTTTCATATCTATCTATCTATCTATCTATCTATCTATCTCCCTTTTCATTTTCCAATCTAGCTAGCTCAATCCTTTTTCATGTATCTATCGTTATATCTGACTCTCTCTCAGTCTGTCTATCGATCAAAAATCTATTTGCGTCTTTTTCATCTATCTATCTATCTATCTATCTATCTATCTATCTATCTATCTATCTATCTCCCTTTTCATTTTCCAATCTAGCTAGCTCAAACCTTTTTTTCATGTATCTATCGTTATATCTGACTCTCTCTCAGTCTGTCTATCGATCAATCTATTGCGTCTTTTTTTTTATCTATCTATCTATCTATCTATCTATCTATCTATCTATCTATCTCCCTTTTCATTTTCCAATCTAGCTAGCTCAATCCTTTTTCATGTATCTATCGTTATATCTGACTCTCTCTCCGTCTGTCTATCGATCAATCTATTTGCGTCTTTTTCATATCTATCTATCTATCTATCTATCTATCTATCTATCTATCTATCTCCCTTTTCATTTTTCCAATCTAGCTAGCTCAATTTTTTTCATGTATCTATCGTTATATCTGACTCTCTCTCAGTCTGTCTATCGATCAATCTATTTGCGTCTTTTTTTATCTATCTATATCTATCTATCTATCTATCTATCTATCTATCTATCTCCTTTTCATTTTCCAATCTAGCTAGCTCAATCCTTTTTCATGTATCTATCGTTATATCTGACTCTCTCTCAGTCTGTCTATCGATCAATCTATTTGCGTCTTTTTTTCATCTATCTATCTATCTATCTATCTATCTATCTATCTATCATTTCCAATCTATCATCTATCTATCTATCTATCTATCTCCTATTTTCATTTTCCAATCTAGCTATCTCAATCCTTTTTCAATGTATCTATCTTTTTTATATCTGACTCTCTCTCAGTCTGTCTATCGATCAATCTATTTGCGTCTTTTTTCTATCTATCTATCTATCTATCTATCTATCTATCTATCTATCTATCTATTTATCCCTTTTCATTTTCCAATCTAGCTAGCTCAATCCTTTTTTTCATGTATCTATCGTTTATCTGACTCTCTCTCAGTCTGTCTATCGATCTAATCTATTATATATTTTTTCAATCTATCTATCTATCTATCTATCTATCTATCTTATCCCTTTTCATTTTCCAATCTAGCTAGCTCAATCCTTTTTTCATGTATCTATCGTGTTATATCTGACTCTCTCTCAGTCTGTCTAATCAATCTATTTGCGTCTTTTTCTATCTATCTATCTATCTATCTATCTATCTATCTATCTATCTAATCTTTTCATTTTCCAATCTAGCTAGCTCAATCTTTTTTTTTCTAATATTATCTCTCAGTCTGTCTATCGATCAATCTATTTCGTCTTTTCTATTATTTATCTATTTTTTTTATCTATCTATCTATCTATCTATCTATCTATCTATCTATCTCCCTTTTCATTTTCCAATCTAGCTAGCTCAATCCTTTTTCATGTATCTATCGTTATATCTGACTCTCTCTCAGTCTGTCTATCGATCAATCTATTTGCGTCTTTTTCATATCTATCTATCTATCTATCTATCTATCTATCTATCTATCTCCTTTTCATTTTCCAATCTAGCTAGCTCAATCCTTTTCATGTATCTATCGTTATATCTGACTCTCTCTCAGTCTGTCTATCGATCAATCTATTTGCGTCTTTTTCATATCTATCTATCTATCTATCTATCTATCTATCTATCTATCTCCCTTTTCATTTTCCAATCTAGCTAGCTCAATCCTTTTTCATGTATCTATCGTTATATCTGACTCTCTCTCAGTCTGTCTATCGATTTATCTATCTGCGTCTTTTTCATATCTATCTATCTATCTATCTATCTATCTATCTATCTATCTCCCTTTTCATTTTCCAATCTAGCTAGCTCAATCCTTTTTCATGTATCTATCGTTATATCTGACTCTCTCTCAGTCTGTCTATCGATTTATCTATATGCGTCTTTTTCATATCTATCTATCTATCTATCTATCTATCTATCTATCTATCTATCTATCTATCTATCTTTTCATTTTCCAATCTAGCTAGCTCAATCCTTTTTTCATCTATATTATATCTGACTCTCTCTCAGTCTGTCTATCGATCAATCTATTTGCGTCTTTTTTATCTATTGCATCTTTATCTATCTATCTATCTATCTATCTATCTATCTATCTCCTTTTCATTTTCCAATCTAGCTAGCTCAATCCTTTTCATGTATCTATCGTTATATCTCTCTCTCTCAGTCTGTCTATCGATCAATCTATTTGCGTCTTTTCATATCTATCTATCTATCTATCTATCTATCTATCTATCTATCTAAATCTATCTATCTCCCTTTTCATTTTCCAAACTAGCTCAATCCTTTTTTCATGTATCTATCGTTAATCTGACTCTCTCTCAGTCTGTCTATCGATTTATCTATTTGCGTCTTTTCATATCTATCTATCTATCTATCTATTGTTCTTTTCAATTTATCTATCTATCTTTTCATTATTATCGTTATTTTTTCCAATCTGTCTGTCAATCCTTTTTCATGTATCTAGTTCTAATCTTCTGTCTGTTGATTTTCAATCTATGTTTTTTTTCATGTATCTATTATCATCTCTATCTATCTATCTATCTATCTATTATCTATCTATATCTATCTATCTCCTTTTCATTTTGCTCAATCCTTTTCATGTATCTATCGTTATATCTGACTCTCTCTCAGTCTGTCTATCGATCAATCTATTTGCGTCTTTTTTATCTATTATCTATCTATCTATCTATCTATCATATCTATCTATCTATCTATCAATATCTATCCCTTTTCATTTTCCAATCTAGCTAGCTCAATCCTTTTCATGTATCTATCGTTATATCTGACTCTCTCTCAGTCTGTCTATCGATCAATCTATTTGCGTCTTTTTCTATATCTATCTATCTATCTATCTATCATCTATCTATCTATCTATCAATCCTTTTCATTTCTATCAATCTTTGTCATGGCATGTATCATCGTTATATCTGACTCTCTCTCCTATTTTTCATGTATCTATCTATTATCTATCTGAACACTCTCTCTCAGTCTTTGACTGAGTGAAAAATGTCAAATCGGTCGAATTTTTGGGGCTTCATTGCAGAAATTATCTATCGTTTTCTTTTTAGTCTGATCTATGATCTGCTTTTTTATTTATATTTTAAAATCTAATTTCATTTTCCAATCTAGCTAGCTCAAATGTATCTAAAACTCTCTCTCAATATTAAATCTAGTCTTTTTATCATCTAATCTATCTATATGGATATATTATCTATCTCCCTTTTCATTTTCCAATCTATTAGGTATCTTTAAATTCTTCAGTCTGTCATCGTTGTCAGATCTTTTGTATTACCATCATAGAAAACGTGATACCTAAGGTTTAGATTGAATATTTAAAAATTTAAAATCTATCTTCAAGATTTTTTTTATCTCCTTTTTTTAATTTCAATTTAATAGATTAAAGAAATCTATTTCATATCAAGAATCAAAATATTTTGCTGTATCAGAATTTAAATTGACTTATTAGTCTGCTATCAACGGGCTTTTTTCAAATATCTGTCAGGAAGTTGGAATTGAATCCACGAACCATCTAAATTAATGATATTGTCTTTTTAATTGCTTTTATAATCTAAATAAATCCTAACAAACTACTATAGACAATGGTTGTACGTCATCATAAAAAATAACCGACTTGTATGGGAAATTGCTAGATATGATAGCGATTTATATTTGATCAAACACTAAAATGAATAGTCATAATGACAATAGGGCTGAGGACAATAGGCCAACTAATACAAGCTTCAACTTTATATCTGACATGAAGATTATATTCAGTAGTAGAAATATTATAGTAATTAATATAAATTATGTTATGTTAAACAAAATAAAATAAAAATAAAATAAAATTTATCAGAATAAATAAAAGAATTTTCTTCTGTTTAAAAGTTTTCTGGGCTAACAAAGCCTTGAAGTATGAAAACATATAAAAGAAATAAATAACTGATATACACACACACACACACACACACACACACACACACACACATATATATATATATATATATATATATATATATATCTCCTTTTATTTTCCAATCTATTCAATCCTTTTCATGGAGAGAACGTTAATTGACTCTTTTTTTTTTCGGTAATTTCCTTAAATCGACCCTTTTTTCTATATGTTTAATGACAAAATATTTATTTGAGAGTAGAACATCCTTTTTTTAGAATGGGATCACTGAAAAATGGAAGTTGGAGGTTATAGATTTGTCTTTTTCAGACATCTTCATTTTAGAATTAAAAAAATTCTGAGTAGATTATGTCTTTAACATTCAGATCATTGAAAAATGGAGATTCATGTTTCATTGTCTGGAATAAAATCAATTGTCTATAATTTAAAGTATTTTTGATTGGAGAGTTGTAAAATAATTTTAGAAGGATTTTTGAAAAATGGAGATTGCATGTCAGAGACAGGAATTATATCAACACACTTATACTTTAGATATTTTTATTTGAGATCTAGATTATGAATATAGAATTTTCTATTTATCAGATCACTAAAATCTACCTTGGATTTCGTTAGGAATAACATCATACGTCTATATTTAAGAATTTTTTATATGAGTGTAGAATATGACATTGGAATTGGGATCACTGAAAAATCTATCCAAGGACATTTGGCACTAATGGATAAAGTCATGTATTGGTTATATCTACTATCTCTCTATGACAGACCCAAAGAAGGTGAGTTCAATATCTGAATCATATCTAAAGTCTTTTCATTCCTGGTTAAGGCAGTGGAGATTTTTCAGAGGGAAAATTAGATTTATCTAGGAGATAACTGATATCTGACATCCATCAAACATTCTCCTTTTGATTTGGAACTAGAACAGTCTATCTGACTCTCCTCTATCGATCGAAAAAAAAGGGTTCAGTTCGAAATCCAAACACCTGAAGAAGGCCGGAGCGTACAACGGCCCTAAACGAAATGTATTTTTTGTGACAAATATGGCGACAAAATATGAGGACAATCAATCCTTTTCATGTATCTATCGTTAATGTAAATCTCTCTGTCTGTCTATGAAAAATTGATGTTGGAAGACATCAGAAAGTTATAATATCAATGTCTCTTTTGGGATTTTTTTTCAATGTATTATAATATTATTTGGATATCGGATAATTGAAAATTTTAGTTGGATTTGCTCACAGACACCAATAAACTCGACTGTATATATTTTAGAATTATTTCTGAGTCAATTATCTATCGTTTTATGAACTGGGGTCACTGAAAAAGGAAGGTTGAAGGTCATAGACAG